ATCTTTTACTTGGGATAATACAGCTCCAAGTCCTTGATAAGATGCATCAGTAAATATAATGAATGGTTCATTATAATTAGAGTATTGTAAAATTGGGGCAGTAATTAAACATTGTTTTAAATAATTAAATATTCTATTATGTTCTTCTGTCCAAATAAATTCTACATCCTTTTGTAATAATTTGTTTAAAGGTGCAGCCTTTTTAGCGAAGTTTTCTATAAATCGACGATAATAGGATGCCAGTCCTATGAATGCTCTTAATTGAGTAATATTTTTCGGTGGAGGTAATTTTTCAAGTTTTTTAACCTTTTGAGAGTCAGGTTTTATTCCATTTATACCAACAATATGCCCAAGAAATTGCATTTCATTAGTGCAAAAATGATATTTTTCAGAGTTAATTCATAAATTCGCATTTTTGATTAAAAAAAATATTGCTTTTAAATGTTCAATATGTTCCTCAAATGTTTCTGAATATATATTAACATCATCGATGTAGACCATAGCATACTTCCAAAGCGCTGGTTCAAGTACAACATCCATTAATCTTTAGAAGGTTGAAGGTGCATTACAAAGTCCAAAGGGCATGATATTAAATTCATATAGGCCGAACTTTGTAATAAATGCGGTCTTTTCTTTATCCTCCTCTTTTACTTCGACTTGCCAGTATCCTGAGATTAGATCAAAGGAAGTAAACCACTTTGCTTTCCCTAGATTGTCCAACATTTCATCGATACGTGGTAGAGGATAAGTATCTTTCTTAGTTATAGAAGTTAATTTTCTATAATCTACACAGAATCTAAGCTTTCTATTTTTCTTTTTAACAAGAACTACTGAGGAACTCCAAGGACTTCTTGATTTATGAATTATTCCTTCTTTTTCCATTTAAACAATTTCTTCTTTTATATGGTCTTGCTTCATAGGAGATGCTCGATATGCTCGTTGTTTGATAGGGTACTCATTTGTAGTATGTATAATGTGATAAACTACATTGGTTTGTTTCAATTCAGAGAATTGAGTAGCAAATATATCAGAATTCTCTTTTAGAAAATTTGATATAATATTTTCTTGTTCTTGGTCTAGATTTGCTCCTATTAATGTAGTTTTGTCTTTAGTTATATTGATTTTATTGGATAGTGGTGGTTTATTTTTAGCTTCGATTTCTGGTTTAATCATTTTGAATAGGTCATCAACTTCTTTTGTTCTTTTATTTTCACTATTTTCAATCCTAATATTGGGCATCATGTTATTATTAACTTGGGAAAAGTATTTATTTGTTTTGATTTTTGTAATAAAGTATCGATCATTGTTTAGGTTTTCTTCATCATCTTTTAGTTCCAATTCATATTCTTTATCAATTAATTGTTTATATTTAATTGGATATAACTGAGTAGGTTTTTCTATTCGTTCCCAACATGTGATAGGGATGTATTCGATATTGTTACCTTCACCTATCGACATTAAACCTGTTCTATAATCAATGACTGTTTTTACTAGGTCCAAATATTCATTACCTAGAACCACATTGTATTCTTGTGATTCAGTAACAATCATATCGATACTGATTTCATTAACTCCAATTTTGATATGAACATCCTTAACTTTTTCTAGAGGAGTTGTTCTGTTACCAGTAATGTCGACAACTCGAACATTACTTGGTCCACTATTGGTTTTCCTATTCGGTCTAGAAATTGTTTTGCAATCACACATCCTTTTGATCCAGTATCAATAAGGACATTAACTTCATGACCAAAGATATGAGCAG